CAGGGTCGGACGCATGTCTACGATAAATGACCTGAAAATTAATAAAACAATTACCAATATAAGACTTAAATCAGTATTTTCAATCGAGTTCATGTAACTTATGTTGATAAAAAAAGTTTACTTTATCTACCTGTAGTACAGATTAGGGCCTCTTTCTGATTAAACTTGGGTTGTGTACAAGCCTCTATACTAATCTGCCTATTTTTGGCTTGTGGTTCTTCTCTGTCTTTGTAAAAGTTTATCTTGCCTCTCTTGCTACCTGAAGCCAATGCAGCCAAAAAATTTGCCTCAAAAGTCATATGTCTTTTGTTATAATGCTTCTTCGTTGAATGCTTCTTCGTTTATAATGCTTCGTTATAATGTTTCTTCGTTTATTATAATGCTTCTTCGATGAAGTAACTATTAATTGCATCTAAAATTAACATTAATTAGACTTAAAATTTCATACTTTTTATAAATTAACTTATTTCTCATATATTCATATCCATAAATAACGATTATGTTGTATATATATTGTTATTTATTACCTTCAGTTTGGTCTAACATTTAACACAGACAGCATGAGCCCCTTCCTCATCAAATTTAAAAAACTTGCTAAGGTGCTCCATATTTTTGCTATCGTGAACATGTCCAGAGTCTGCAGGCAACTGAATGCTGCAATCCAAGTGAGAATTTTCCAATCTAGTGTAAAGTTCATTATTTCCACTATCTGCCGCATCACTACTGATGACAAAACTAGAATTGTCCTCCCTAAAAAAGCTCAACTGTGAAGAGAAACTCGCTGGGCTACAAACTTCTGAGTCCATTTTAAAAGGCTGGCTATAATAATGATTACAAAGTAATAATAATTAACTATTAGTAGATGATAGGGAAAAGCGAGGAACTGAGCCGCACACTTTATATTTTCTATAACTTGGTTATATTATGAAAGTTGAAAACTTTTTTTAATTTAAGCAATTAAAACCAAATAATAAACAGTGGTTTGGTCTTTTGACCAAATTACTTAATTGCTTTTATTAAAAAAAGCAACTTTCTATACTCTAATAAATGCAATCTGGTTGGTTAAAACTTGTAAGAGCAAAATGGCTATTTAGATTAAGTACTTGAGTCTTATGGTCCTATGGGGCTTAATACCCCTCTCTCCTCAATATAATATATATATATATATATATATATATATATATATATATATATATATATATATATAAATATATATATATATGTATATATATATATATATATATATATATATATATATATATATATATATATATTTATATATATTTATATGTATATATATACACATCTATATTTATATATATATATGTATATATATATATATATTTATATAAATATATATATACACATCTATATTTATATATATATATATATATATATATATATATATATATATATATATATATATATATATATATGTATATATATATATATATATATATATGTATATATATATATATATATTTAATGTATATATATATATACACATCTATATTTATATATATATATATATATATATATATATATATATATATATATATATATATATATATATATGTATATATATATATATATATATATATATATATATGTATATATATATATATATTTAATGTATATATATATATACACATCTATATTTATATATATATATATATATATATATATATATATATATATATACACACACATATATATTTATATATATATATATATATATATATAAATATATATATATATATATATATATATATATATATAAACACACACACACACACACACACACACACACACACACACACACACACACACACACACACACACACACACACATATATATATATATATATATATATATATATATATATATATATATATATATATATATATATATATATATATATATATATGTATACTAAAAACTACATCTAAAAAAAGCCCTACCCTTAATCGTTAAAAACGAAAATATTTTGTATAAAGTGTAATGCATAAGGATTAATTTGCAAGCAGAAATTGCAAACGCAAAGTACATTGAAAATATCGGATTGTTTATTGTAATAATTTAACTTTATTAGGAATTTGCTGCTGTTCTGCAATTGTATTTGTAAAAGTTGTTTAATTTTACATAAAGATTATTTCAATGAGATCATAAAAAAGTCCAGATAAACGCATCATATGCACAATTAAGGTAACACGTAGAGCTAATTACGGAAATTTTTTAAGCAAACATGGCGTTTCTTTAAAAATTCTAAATCAAATTGCACACATCTCAAGTTATTTTGATAAAGTAACAACATTTTAAAACTATGAAGTTTTTTTTTCTTATACTTCTTATAAGGAAATAAAAAAAATCTGCATTGCGTCAACCTCTTCCATATGTTTGATTTACAGCATCTTTTTCCGTTACTAATAAACTTTATATAGTTTTAAATTTCGTTGATTAATCGTGCCTGAATAGCACGATTAATCAACGAAATGAGTTATTAACGCGATGAGCTTCTGAACATGATTTTCTGAAAAATATATGCTAAATTAAAGTATTAACGTAAATTAAATGTAATTAATTTAAAGTGGAAAGGTAAATTAATTGTTTAACGCATTTGTTATTATATTTTATCAATATTTTCAATTTTTAATAAAGTTAAAATTTTAAAAAATAGATAAAACGGTAGGAATTTGTTGCGTGTGTGTCACGATTGAGATACCGTGCTCACGTAATTAGTCCTTATGTACTGTGGATAGTCTGAAAGAATAAATGATTTGAAACCCTAAAAAAGAGTTTTCATATATTTTAATAAGACAATCCTGCTACTCTAAAAGGTGCTGCTGTGGAGTCTAAAAGACACACAGAAAAGTCAAAAATGCTAAAACGTTATTTTGATATGAGCATTCACATATTTGAGTTTTTTCTGTTTGTGTTTAATGCTGAAAATATGATAATTTTATTTGATATACCTAGCTCCCCATGGCCCGTTCTACTGGGTGAGCGAACTATGACTCAAAATAAGGTTTGATTTTTTTAAAAAACGAAGACCAGACGTGTTACTGATTTCGGGGGTAGCAGTAACAGTATCGAAAACAGCCAAACTGATTAATCTCGAAAATGGAATTTCCAGAATAACATCGTAATTGTAAAAAAAGGAATTGTATCGAAAATCCAAAAAATAGAATAACCTCCAAATTGTGAAAAAAGGAATATATCGAAAAGGGAATTTTCGGAATAATATCGAAAAAATAAACGTTTCAAATTTGTTAACAAAGGACTAGTATCGAAAATCCTAAAAGCAGAATAATCTCGAAACAGCTCAAAAGAGAATAATATTGAAAAAAGACTTACGGAACAATATCGAAAGAGTAGATCGAAATTGTAAAAAAAAGGAACAATATCGAAACGGGACTTTCCGGAATTATATCGAAACTGTGAAAAAAGGAATAAAATAGAAAAAGGACTTTCCAGAATAATATCGAAAAGGTGAATTTTGATAATAGTTTGAAAATTCTAAAAGCAGAATAAATAGACGGCAGTTTTTTGCGGTTTTTAATTAAAGTGTAGTAATTACACTTTATAATTGTATAATATAAACAAAAAGCTTTATTAGTAGAACAAAAAATATTGAATGTTGTGTTGTTGGCTATTTATAAAACAATTCAAAACAAAATTTATTGATTTTATTTACAGTAGGCACTTCACACGATTTTACTATTACAATTATCTCTTGTTATAATTAATACCATTATATGCGGATAATGAAGAAGCTTTCAGAATGTGTTCATTTTTTAAATTTGGATAACTGGTTCCCAAGTTATGACAATCTATGTTGGGCTCAATAATACCTATTTGGCGTCAAGATTTGTTGAGTTTTTCTTAAGGAATTATGGCACTAAATTTTGATAATAAATTTATTTTTCATATGCTATCAAGAAGGAGTTTCATTGAAGTACTTATGCTGAATTATTTTTATTGTTTTATTTTTTACTAAAGCATTCAATTCTACAAATTATCATTCTCATATTAGGGGAGCCTAGGTAAGAATTCCACTCCTCGTTTACCCATTTGGGGCAATTGGATCAAAAGCTATAAAAGCTTCGTTTAAACCGTAAAAATTAACTTAACATAAAGAAATAGAGATTTTTCAAACGGTCAGGGTAAACAAATTTATTTACATTTATAAATAACAAGAAAATAGGTAAAAATATTAGGTCTAATTTCTTCTACAGAACTTTGATTGTTCTCGGCCCAATCGCCCATTCAGGACAACAAGGTAATAATACACAAAGCCCGTTTTCCCATTTTGGGGCAAATTGGCCCAAGAGTAAAAAAAACTCTGTTAAAACTATAAAAATTAACTCAAGTTAAAGAAAAAGACCTTTTTCAAACTGTCAGAGTAAAGATTCATTTACATTTATGAATATCAAGAATATATGTAAAAATCTAAGAAGAAACATTTTTCTCATTTTCATTCATTCATTCATTTTCATTCATTCAGGGCCGGGAGCCATGACGTTAAACTTTTAAAAATAAGCAAAAAAAAAATTCTGAAAATTTTTCAGTAATAGCTCAAACCCTAAATATGTAAAATTTGAACTCTATTTTATGAAGTACACCACTAATTTTATGAAATATCATGCAAATAGTTTTGTCGTTAACATGGAAATGTGAACGAAGAGTCACATTATACCCGAACTTTATCATATTTTAATTTTACGCGTTAAAGCGAAGTATGATAAAACTCACAAATCCATGTTAATGACAAAACTATGAACATAATATTTCACAAAAGTGGTGGTGCACTTCATAAAATACAGTTCAAACTTCACTTATTTTCAAGGTTCTTTATCCGCTTAAATTGTAAATCAAATCCTTTATCATTTGCAACAACAATTTGCAACAAACAAAAAAGTTCGCCTTTGTTTAAATGCTTGAAAACATTTGCCCTTTAGTGATTTTTAACAAAATGATTTTAGGCCCACTGCACAGTGGGCCAGAAACATGGAAAAGTGATCTAAATTAATAACTACATATAAAATCAGTTTAATTACTACATATAAAAACAGTTTAATTTTGTAAGGCATTTTAGGAAACTCGACTAACTTGAAGAGTTATTAGTATATATATTAGTGAATAAAATATATGAAGTTTATGTAAGCAAAACATAAAATTCCAAAAAGAACTATTAAACACTTACTTTACAAAAAAAAAATTTATCAAAATATATTAGTGTATAAAATAATTGAATTTACTAATCTTCTAACAATTTATTATATGTACAAAAGGTTATTGGTTGTACTTTTTATAAAAAGTACAATCAATAACCTTCTATAAATATACAAGCCCATATCGTAAAGATTTTGAGGTTAGGTTGGTCGTTTCGGAGAAAATAGTGGTCAAGAATAGAAAATCTTAATTAATTTTTATAACGTGAAACTAAGAGCATTTGGTCAAAAAAAAGATGTCAATCGCTCACGATTATCTCCTCTCTTTCCCCACCCCTACCAACAGTAAGGACGTGATAAATTTAATAGAAACTAGCTTTTAATAGAAAATTTATATCAATAGCAACTCTTTAAACAAAATGCATATTTATTATAAAGCAAATTAAGGATGAAAAATCCTTTTTTATAGCTGTTTTGTGCTGGTCTGTAAAATCTGAGTCTGTGTTTTATATAATCTATAAAGTGTTATATCTTGGAAAGGAAATATTTTCAGCATATGGTTTTCACATACTTTTTGACGAGCTCTTTCCAATTATATAGTTTTTTGTTTAATATCTATATATTTTTTTCCTGACGAAATATTTTTATTTAATTTCTAGTTAAACAAGTTAAAAGCCAGCTAGACAAGTTAAAACCTAGTTAAAAAAAGTTAAAAAGAAAAAGTTGCTTCTAACACGCTTGTGCACACGAAAGTGCTAATCGTAACATAGTAACCCTCACGATAAGTCTTTTGTTGATACTGTCACTTGCTTCAAGGAAACTTATTTAATTTTGATAGACAAGCAGCTGTAGAATTTTATGCTACATTTATCTATACAATAACTTTAACATGTAAATGACTATTGTTTCTAGGGTGATGGAATTTATTTAGTACTTATCCTTAACGTAATATGAGGTTTGCTCAACTGAAACCAAATCAATACGCCAACTTACGGAAAATCTTGTAGGCCAAAATGAAATTTAAAGTCATTTATGTAAACTAAAAAATGACGTTATTAATTATTTTTATTCCAGGCGGAGCAATAGGAAAAAAATTATACCGCTTTTATATGATAAATTTTTTTAAATAAATTTAATCAATTGTGTGACATTCTAGTTTTGAAAATATAGGTAAAAGGGAAAATTTTACTGAATCGTTGAAAAGGTTCAATGATAGGTGATATTGGTCCTCGGCAAGTGGGACAATGAGCTGTGTTGCTTTTTTGGACTTGTTGAATGCAGTGCTGACAAAACAAAAAATGTCTGCAAGGCATTACTAATGCATTTCGTTCATTGACGGTACAAACAACGCACTTCGGTGACTCTGTTGAAGTAGAAGTTGGCAAAGGAAGACTCTCACCAACCTCGTTCATTGAGTTTTCATCCAAAGCACTAAAAATATTTAAAAATTTCAAATACAATTTTTCATATTTCTTGGAAAATAACAGATTATCAAATAAAGTTAAACTAATTAGTTTGGTAAAAAAATTGTTAAAGGTTAATAAATAAGAAGTATTATACAAAAACTTGCAAAACTATCTTACACTACTTTGAAGTTTTGAAAGAGATATGATGCTGTTGATAGGAATCTCTCAGTTGTCCAAACTCCGTCTCGAAGTTTTTTCTCAAAACAACGCATTTTTTCAATTGCACCATAGTCGCGTTGGTCACGGCGGACTGGCTGATTGCAGGCAAGCTGTTGAAGCTCTTGAATTGTATGGACTATTACATGCTGGTTAAGCAATTTCATAAACTGCAAAAATCCTCTATGTCGATCACCGATGTTTGATTTCAAACGTCTATTGAGACTCTCTGCATTGTTATTGGTTTTGTGGTTCAACCCATAAACACTGAATCCTTCTGGGGTCACTATATTGAGCCAATAACTCTCAAAATACTTTTAAAAGCAAATAGTTTGATTTTGATTTCGCGACTAAGTTGTGCAATCTCAATAACTCGAGATCCCCAAGCAACCAAGAACTTGTTTGCAGGAAGGAGACAAAGTGCTGAAACTTTTCTTGCCCACTTCTTTACTTGAATTTGGTGGCGGTATTCCCTCTGAAGACCAAGAATCGCTAATTGCTTGGTGATTGCATTTTCGAAATGAAACCTAAAGATAAGAGTTTAAAGGAGATCATTAATTGATAACAAACTCTGAAAAACTTCAATAACTTAGAAACTGGAAACTAAGTAATAACAAAGTAATAACTTTTACCTGCAACCATTCACCATGCTTTCACTCCAAGTTGTTTTTAAAGCATTCTGTAGTCCTCGTTCAAAATTTGACATAATAGTGACTTGAGAGAAATCTAAAACTTCTTTTATTTTGGAAAAAACAAGCTTGTATAGAGCCTCGGATTTTGACGTCATTAAAGCGCATACAGCTGGAACAGATATTCCCCAAAGGTGAGGGCTATCAGGATCAAAATTCATCTGATCCTCATCTGGAATTGGATCTTCAAGTACTGCTAAATACTTAACAGAAAATATCAAGAGCTGATACCACTTACTTTCCTCCATGCGTGGTGTCATGCTGGAAGTACAGTAAATGTAACTGTAATTTACAACTGTAAATAAAAGTGTTCTACCTAACGTTTTTAATATACCAATTTTTTCGTCTACGGGCTGTCCATTAATAACGTTAAAAAAATTAGGAAGAAGGTGTCTACATTTTTTTGAAAATTTTTACTAAGGGTGAGGGGAGGAGGTCAAGTAAAGTTGACATCAACAGTGTTGCTTTATTTTTTTAATTTCGTTACTCAAAAAAAGAAAAATTTGCCTGCGTTTTTAGCGCAGCGTCTTTATTTAGGGGAAAAGGGTTATCAAAAATTGACGTAACTTTATAGGGGAAAGAAGTCTCTGGAAATTTAACAAATTGTTGACATGGAAGAGGGGGTAATGTAAAAATAACCAAAAGTTTGTGGATGTAATTAATGGACAGCCCCCTAGATAAATATATGTTCTTCTAGAACATATATTTTTTTGAAAAAGTTAAATGCATACGTATAAATACCTAAATGTTCCATCAACAAAACACACTTTGGCCGATTTCGCCTTGTTGATGACTAGCATATGCCCAAACAGCAATGCTACGTTATCCTGTTCTGCAACTGATCCCAAGAAAATGTCTCCATAGCGATTGCACTCTTTTTTGTTCAGAACTTGAGTTTTTTAAAAGTTTCTTAAATTTTAAGTTTTAATTTGAACAGAAATTTATTGCACGTGCAAATTAAACTGTTTATTGCGCCTGCAAATTAACTGTTCATTTAAACTGCTGTTCTCCATTGTAGGTAATGCTAACTTTGTTAAGCTGATGCGCTATTAGGGTGAAAAGTTAGGAAATATTCATCGAACTCTTAAATAAGTTTCTTTTTGAAAAGTGACTTAGTATTAAAAATTTCTTAACATTTTCTCCTAGTACTAATTTTTTATAAAATAAAAGTGTGATCATAAAATCATATTTTTGATGTTAATCATTAAAAAGAATTTTTGACAATTAAACATTTTCGATCTTATTCCGTTTTTATTGTTTTCGACATTAACCAGAAAATCTTATTTTTAAGTTCATCATTAAAATGAGTTTTCGATCTTATTCTGTTTTTATTGTTTTCGACATTAATCGGAAAATCACGTTTTCGATCTTAATTATTAAAATGAATTTTCGATCTTATTCTGATTTTATTGTTTTCGAGATTAATAAGAAAATCTTATTTTCGATGTTAATCTTAATAATGAGTTTTCGATCTTATTCCTTTTTTATTGTTTTCGATATTGTTCCACATTTGTGAATTTCGATATAAAAACTTTTCGACATTAATCAGAAAATCACATTTTCGATGTTAATCAGTTAAATGAGTTTTCGATCTTATTCCGTTTTTATTGTTTTCGATATTGTTCCAAATTTGTGAATTTCGATATAAAAACTTTTCGATATTAATCTGAAAATCACATTTTCGATCTTAATCATTAAAATGAGTTTCGGTCAGTTATTTTTCGATACTAATCATTTTTTCGATCAGTTAATTTTCGATACTATTCCGCTTTCCCGATTTCGGGGAGGAATGTAGAGTGCTGCTATATTGACTAGTTTATAGTTAACATGCAAAATTACATCGAATGAGGGTTAGGTTTTGGGCAGGTACAGATCAATTGATGTAGCAGCACTCTCCTACATTTCTCCCAAAATCAGTAATATATCATCCTTTTTTTTTTTGAAAAATCAAAATCAAAACCTCATTTCAAGTCATAGTATCTTTCGCTTATCGTTTTACTGGTCTTCAATTGCTTTGCAAAATGAAGATTATTTTAGTTAGAGGGTTAAAGTTTTACTATAGACTTAACTTTTGAGAAATGTTTCTTTGTCATTAAAGAAAAAAATTATTTATGTTGAATGCTTACGTATTCAATTACATAAATCTGTGCATTTAACAAACTTAAAAGACTATTTTCTGAAACTTTAAGTACATATGTTCAAAATTTTTCTTTCCAAATAACCAAATTTTGGTTTCCAATACTTGTAAAAATGTTGTGCAACAGTCGTGCGTTTTTGTTGTACAACAATTGTTGCCGAAATAGGTTTAATTCTATCTTCGCAACCTTTATTTTACAATATAAATGTTATTGCACAACCGACGTTAAGTTTTGCAATTTACGTAAGAAAAATGTTTCCAGTATTGTTATACAACTTTAGTACAACATTTCTGCAACTATTGGAAACAAAGCTTAAGTATTTCATAAGGCTTTTAACGAGCTTTGCGTATATTAGTTCATTTTTTGTTGCTCTTAAAGCAATTGTTTGTGTGAAATATTTTTCTAACGTTTCCTAAACAATAGTATAACATAGCAATATATATATATATATATATATATATATATATATATATATATATATATATATATATATATATTTATATATATATATATATATATATATTTATATATATATTAAAATATATTTAAGAATAGCTATATGCTGCCTTTTTATTAAAATCAATTTACATATTTTATATATATATATATATATATATATATATATATATATTTATTCAAATATATTTAAAAATAGCTATATGCTGCCTTTTTATTAAAATCAATTTACATATTATATATATATATATATATATATATATATATATATATATATATATATATATATATATATATATATATACAAATATATGTAAATACATATATACATATACATATATATATATACAAATATATGTAAATATATATATATATATATATATATATATATATATATATTTACATATGTATATATAAATATATATATATATATATATATATAAATATATATATATATATATATATATATATATATATATATATATATATATATATTTATATCGCATAACAAAATATGACTTTTAAAGATATATATATATATATATATATATATATATATATATATATATATATATATATATATATATATATATATTTATATCGCATAACAAAATATGACTTTTAAAGATATATATATATATATATATATATATATATATATATATATATATATATATATATATATATATATATATATATATATATATATATATATATATATATATATATATATATATATATATATATATATATATTTATATCGCATCACAAAAAATGACTTTTAAAGATATATATATATATACATATATATATATATATATATATATATATATATATATATATATATATATATATATATATATATATATATATATATATATATATATATATTAATATACATATGTATATTTCTTTAAAAGTCGTTTTTTGTTATGCGATATATATATATATATATATATATATATTTATTTATATATATTTATAAATACATGAATAAGACAAAAGTATTTTATAAAGTCGATGAAAATTAGTTTCTTCGTTTAGGAGAAAAACAAACAATTTTATAAATTTCATAAGATTCACGTATTATAGACATACTAAGACCCGAATTTCACGAGTCCGATTAGCTTTTGACAATTTTAAAGTAAGAAAAGTTTAAATTAATTAATAAATTAAAAATTTAGAGTTTTACAACTATTTTACCACATTCCCGTTAGAACCTTTAGATTAGGGATCGTCCATAAACTACACCGCGCTAAATTTCACTAATATACAAAAAAATATTTTATTTGGAAAAAGTTCAGATAAAGCCAACGTGGAATAGACTCACAAAGACCCGTATTTTTAAGGGTCAGATCAGCTAGTTAAATAGGATTAGAACGCACAATTATCTGCAAATTTTAAATGACACTATTTCAGCTGAGGGGTCACTCTCTATGAAAGGGTAGGGAGTTTTAACGACATACAAAACTTGCTGCTAAAGAGTTATGATTTTAGAAAGAAGAAGGGATGTCAAAAATGGTCTAAAATTGCTTGACATAATTTATGGATGACCCATGAAACAAATAAATGGCTTTGTTTGTGCAATAGCAACTATTAGAACCAGAACAACACTAACAAAATACAGCTAATTTTGCTTTCATTACACTGTTACTTAAATAATCCTCCGTAAAATGTCAGGAGACCTAGAATACAACAACACCATTAAAGACTGGATAAATATATAACTTGAATCATGTTATAAAAAACAATACAAGGAAGGAAAGTGTAAATTACTAGATCCGCCTGAAATATTAGAACCCACTGGGTAAAATTCAAAACAAGATTGGGTTTTTCGGGTTATAACTGTTAGAAGTGTACCTAAATCGTCCGAAGTACCTTTGGTAAACGTAAACAAGGAGGAAAAAACGTTTAGAGGACAAGAATTTTGTGAATAAATTTTACATAATAGTAATATAAAAAGGACGCGGGTTTTTAATTTACCCCGTCAAAAGAAAAGTACTTTTCGCCATGACGCAACTACGCCTACAAGGCAAATAGAAAAAAAGGAGGTGGGCTGGAGCACTGGTGGATTAAAGTAGAAGTAAAGTGGAAGGGGACAAATGAAGTGAAGTAAAGGTGGAAGTAAAAGTGAAGTAAAGGTGGAAGGGGACAAATTTTTAGATTTTGGCGTTCCAGACCATTGATTTACAGTTTCAATGATTTTTTAAGCAGGCAGGCGAAAAAATAGAATTTGAACTACACAATTTTATCCGAATTGTCACTTTGAAACAGCCTTTGAAACATGTCACTTTGAAACAGCCTCCTAAATGTATTTACGATTTTAAACATTGTGCTCAATATCTCCCAAAAAAAAACTATTTAAAGAGAGAGAAGCGAAGGGCTATCATTCGAACAGCCTTCCCTGTGTACTCCTTTAAGTC